TCTTATAAAACTTAAAAACAAACATAGAATACCTTAAAATTGTTAAGAGGTAGTCGATAACGAAATGTGCAAGACTTCTGATATGAACTATAATCACAAACATGGTATTTCTTAATATTTTCCAGATGTAGACTTTAGTTTGTTAATATATTAATCTTAACAGTTTAAATTACATAGGTCCGTATACAGATTTGAAAAGTGAAAATTAGAAAAAGCATTTAAGAAATATTCTATATTACTAAGAAAAAATAAATACTGAACTCATCATTTGATAGAATCAGATTCGTAAACCTATTTTTATTAATTTACTGAAATTAACTTTCGTATTGAGGTGCGTATAATTACTGTCATAACGTATACGCTCTGAAGAACAACTGAACAAATAATCAAATTAGTGGAAGATTTCTTATTATTTTAAACACACGTTCAATGAAAAGTGACTGGATTTTCGACTTCGCATGTTTTTGGACTCTCTAGCACACACATATGCAATATATTTTCTCACAACGAAAAATGCATGCTCATTGACAGATGAGTAAGAGTTGCAAAATGTTATGTTGATGAATCACCTACAGCATAGAGAGGAAAACTATAATAACAAATCGTATTTATGAAATATAATACTTGAACGAAAATTTCCCCAACACCAACAACAACTACTACTACTGGTACTACTTATGGAATAGCTCATTAGCATTCATGCATTCTTTGTGTAAATGAGAGAAAACAAAAATGAATTATGTATTTATCTGCGGTGTTCTGTTTGACAGTATCATCCGAACACCGAACCAAAACTACGTGACTGTTGTCATGTCCGAAATTTTTTGCAAACATGTGTCCAGTAAATCGGTTTATAATTTAAAATCCAAGCGATTATTTTTGTCGTTGTTGTTGTGCAAAATTGTATCATTGACATAGCAATTGTTTAGCTCCCCTTGCCCATCCGACTCTTTTCTTCGATAATCAATTCGCATTTTATCTCATTAAAGTTCATCTAAGCTTTTTGAAACAGCCAGAATGAAACTGGTGTCATTTCGATTTCGAAAGCCATAACGCACAATGAAATCGATGTTTGTGTCGTCGCAGTGACATCGCATCGCAAAATAAATACCAAACAAATGTTTAAAACATTCCTCTAATGAACTTGACTCTGAAATGATTTGAAATCCAGCAGAGCAATGATAGCGTAGCGCAAGCGTATTATGTATGTGCCGCCATAACGTGTCTAAACATGTGTTGCATGCTGAAAGTATTTATCGAAGGGGTAATTTTTTTCGCAGTGCTGGTTGTTGCCTTCATTTGGGAGAACAGACAGACACACAAACACACACTAGCACACTCAAAGAGCAATGACAAAACGCGATCTCGATGACGATAGTGATGATGAAATGATTTCAAACATACAACATGTGGTTGTTTCCTTTTTGTGTACGATTGTCGTCATTGTTTGGTTTTCAATTGAAAATTGGGAAACAGTAAGGCCTAGGTAATGGGGGTACGATTAAAAACAAACTATAAGTATGTACAATATACAAAAGACTACATCAAATTAACAACACTTAAATTTTTGTCAAAAGATTATATGTGTTGTTATGAAGTACCGAGCACCAGAAATCAGTGAGTTTTGAACCAATCTCCTATCTTCCATTAATGTTACAAATTATTTAGACAATCATATCATCCTACATATCGATCATTTACTGTAAATATTGTTGCTGGCATAATACGGCGGGTATAATGATTGCATTATGTGTTTATGAAACTATAATTTATTGCAAATAGAAGGAATACTGAATGTATGGTCACACACATACACCCATACATAGACATAAACATGGGGGTCATGTGGAAATAACAAACATGCCGGAATTTCGATTTAGAATTAAAATCTATGAAATGAAATCGAGTGGACTGTTAGAAAAAAATTCAATTATGGTCATGGCATCCAAATAAACAAGCAAACAAATGGGAAATACCAGCCATAAAAGAAACCAACAAAAATGTGGCTGTTTTGGTGGTCATCGTACCGTTTTTTTTTTTGTGGTGTGGTGTGTTTAACATTTCATTGGAAATCATAATGTTGAAATTTTTCTTTTTTTATCAAACATATGCTTGGCAATTTTAATTCGGATATAATCCTAAAAGTATGCATTGATTTTATTACAATAAAATTTGTTCGTTATTAAGTTATTTGGGTTTTGGCAATGTTAATTGCATCAAGGTTAAAGTAATTTAAAACAAAATTCCAAGTATTTTTCTTATATGAAATATAAATGAATTTCAAATTTAATGGCTATTCTATAATAACAAAGGTCTATGAGCTGACCTTGACCTCATCTAATTGCCAAGAATTATTGGTTTTTTGGAATAAAATAAAAACAGGTTTATATGGTCCTTCGAATGGTCCTTCAAGGTTAAGTCCGATTAACCGGCAGACTAACATTAAATATTTTTCTGGGAAAATAGGTACATATTTTTTTAAACAGAATATATAGAAGTAGACCTAGAATGATGGCTTTACAATCTTTAATTTTATTCCATTTACAAATTTTACAATGAAATATATAGAAACAAAATAATTATTATTTTGCTAAACAACCCTCCTAAAAGTATGCCTTGATTTGCCAACAAAATATTATCGTAAAAAATATGTTATCTCTGTTGTTCATTTCCATTACTTTTTTCTAAAGGTTTTACTTGAAAAATGGTGCGTTCACATTTATTACACTTTATTTAAATTCTTTCGTTGTTGTTTGCACCATAAAAAATCATTGCATATCCCAAAGGGATTATGCAGGTCTACAAACAGAACATGGTGTGATTACACACTCAAATGGAACTGGGGAATAAAAGCAACATGGGGATGAAATGAAAAAAAAACAAGTCAAAATCAGTTGATTATTCAAAAGTAAAGCAGCGGGGAAAACTCAATCACAATCATTATCATCCCACCATACTCCTCAGTGTTGCATTTTTTAAACACCCTGAAAAATTGTCAGTTCCATACATTAACATGAACCGAATCATATATTGTTTGCGACATTTATTTATGAATATGCATGTCTGATTATATAAAAAATGTTATTGTTGTTTTTGTTGTTGCTGTTTTTGGAGTTATTGTGCCGATTGTCTGCGTGTCGCTTGCTGTCAATGATGAAGTGATTAAATATGCAAAAATATACACACTTTGTTGCATATGTAATTGAATGAATTCCATTGACAAGGATGATATCAGGATACGATTTGTCCCGAAATTGTTTTATAACAATGATAAAAAAATATTTTCGTATATGAACAGTTAAAAAAAAACATATAAATATAATTGTTTTATTTTTTCTCTGACACCATTGAGAAGAATTTCTATAGAGAGAGAGAGAGAGGATTCTTCAGCCTACAATGTCTTTTGTGTATCGTAGAGCTTCAGAAAGAGTTCTGTCTATCAGATTTTTATTATTAGAAGTCTTCAGGATGAAGTTATTTGAGGTAATCCTCATATGTCATTATAGTGTTTCATTTGCAGGTCAGAATTTATTCCGAAATATTTCTGTCTATAGCCGTATTTGTCATCTTACGAGGCCCACATAAGATATTCTATCTATATGAATGGGAGATATTCCAACTTAAGGAGACCTTGGAAGAGCCTCTTTTTTTAGTAGTAATTCAGGACATCATCTGTATGCAGAACACGGAAAGACCTGATGGAAATATTTAAGCATATGACAAACAATTTTTGTAATGAAATTTGCCTATGAAGGACCTCAAAGTATTGTAAATAATGTAATTTAATACATGCAAGACTTTAAAACTTATTATTTTTAAATTTTAAAACTACTAGAGCTAAGTGGAAGAAAGCAATAATGACTACATCATTTTTTCTATTAAAAGAATGATGATTTTTTTGGTACCAGTCAAATATTTAAATGGACGATTGAAATTTCTGGAAATCTTTTTCTGTGACTCCGATAGAAAAAACAACGTTGCCAAAATTTACTGTACAACAAGAAAATTGAGCGGCACTTGACAACAAAGTAAAACAATTCAAACTATTATCTAAAATTGCTCTAAAAGCTTATCTGGCTTTGTTTTGGGTATGACATTTTTGTTTCTGTTAAGCCAAGGGGTCATGTGGAATCCATCAAAACAAATTGCAAATATCCAAAAAACGAAAAAAATCCCCCCATTGAACAGCATCAGTTTCTTGCCCCAATCCCCTACAACATATGAGCGGATCGAAACATGGAGACATACCCCCTCTAGAATTCGTTTTGGAGTAAAGTGCTGCCACCACCACCACCACCACCGTTGTCGTCATCAGCGAGCCGCAACAATTGCGAAAACGCTTAAAAACTGTTCCGCTATTTGAAGTCACAAAACATTTTGTCCAGTATTTATCTCCGTTTTTTTTTTTCAAATTTCGATTTCAATTTTATTTTTCTTTGTGCGTTAGTTCGTTTTTATTTTGGATTTGTTTTCGTTTCATTTTCGAATTTCGAATAGAATAACAGCTTAGATGGCGTTCGTTTACATGTGTTTGTTGCATGTTTTTGCGCTTGGACGAGAGCTGGAGATGGACGCCAAACAATACCAACACCCATAACGCCAGCAACAACAACAGCAGCAAATCATATCAGAATGATTCTGTTCGCATAGATGTTTATTATTGTTGTTGTTTTACTGTCAGACGCTTTTTTATCTATGATGATGATTGAAAGCGACACCAACAACAACAAAAACAAAAAACTATTGCAAAAGGCATTTGCAGTTCGAAGCTCAGCTTTAATAGTTTCAAATTTTAAATAATGAAAATAGTTTCATTTCGGTTCTCTTCCCAATTGCATGAAAACAAATCTCTCTCGTTAAGAAATTGTGTTGTGTTCTTCGTTATTTTTATTTTCATTGTGTTGGGGGGATCGTAAGAAAACGATTACGATCCTGTTTTTGTGTTGGGCAATAATTCCGTTAATAATTTATGTTGTTTGTTTGTTAGAGTTAAAGAAATAATGCTTTCCTTAAGGATTTATATGCAAATTGTTTGCATATGTGTGTGTTTAGTGCAATTGATCGTAACACAATCGGTGCCGTATCGTTCGCTGGAAGATGCCCGTTCCGAACGTCAACGTTTAGTGCAAAAATATATAAAAACTTTGAATAAGGAAGAAGGAGCAATACGTCTGGTCGGTGGTGATGCCGAACATGAAGGTATGAAGGATATTAAATTGAAATGTGGTGTGATTCAAAGGATAATAAAAGGAATATGAGGATTGTGAGACTTACTAATTTAAAAAAGTGATATAAGCTATCGGACTGAATTGAAATATTTTTCTAATTTCAATTAAAATTCAGTCAATTAATTTTGTTCATAATTAAAGGTCCTATACATAAGGAAATAATTCTACTTCGAGATGATTTTGAGCAGGTATTATGTGTTTTGATTCGTGAATAATTTTCCGCTAATAGGTCGTTTGGGTACAATTTCTGATCATTTCTGATTTCTTAATATATCAACTAGTAATGAGAGTCCTTACATGTATTTATATAAATTAAATAGTATTGATCAAAGATTTCAGTTTCATGATCCGGGCTTCATGTGCAAAAATGTCTACTACAACAAAGCTCCGTTTTTTGTTGATTATAGAAACTATGTTATACAGGTTATATCTTAGACTTTCGATTTAATACCAAATAATTTATTTTCAACTCTCCGAAAATATATTTTTTTCAAATATATTTCCTTTAAAATATCACCGAATTATGTTCGGCTGATATTGCCAAAAAATATTTCTCCCACTGGAGATAATACGTATTGACAATAATTATACGCACCTAAGAAATTAATATTAAAAAGGAAGCAATTTTCAATCTAATTTTAAAATTCTTAAACCGATTGGATATTGATAATTAAAATAGTCACTTGGATATTTTAATCACATCTTGATAAAACACTTAACATATGTGAGGTTTAAATTGTTTCCAATAATACCTGTCCAAACCAGTGCACACGCCAGCTTACCGACAATTGTATATCGTGGAAATGGTTAAGTTTTTATTTTTTTGTAATACAATTAACATGTCTATCACAATTCGTTTGCTATAATTCTCGCAAATGAAATGTATTGACTCTACATACACAAATGCAGGGTAAAAACTATTTGCATTTACATTTCAATCAAGCAAATACTGAACAAATCAATCTGAAACATTTCATCAAATGCGGTGTAAATGATATCGTTTACATTAGTCAATCATGTGTTTTTCCTTTTCATTAGAGATGTCGGATTAGGTTATATGGACTGGTCTGGACAGAATTGAATTCAGAGAAACAAAATTATGTAATTGATATGTATATGCGGCGTATGAGTAGTGTCAAAACGTATACAACACACAGGTCATAAGAGGATAGTTAACTTTAAATCTGATATAATTAATTAAAATATGAAATTTCTTCCTTTTTTCTTTTTAAAAAGGTAACATTGAAGTCCTACACAACAACAAATGGGGTTCGGTGTGCGATGATGAATGGGATATGGTGGAGGGAAGAATCGTATGCGAACAGCTGGGTTATGCTGGTGTTAGGAAAGTAACACACAGTGGTTATTTTGGTCCTGCCAAAAGACGTTTCTGGATGGACAATATTTTCTGTGAGGGAGATGAAAAAGAATTAACCCACTGCCATTTCGATGGTTGGGGTGTAAACGATTGTGAACCCAGTGAGGCGGCTGGTGTTATATGTGTTGCTCCAGCTGGTCTGGAACCCGAACCGGAAGTGCAACCAGAATACTATGAACCCAAATATCGCATACATTACACACATAAAATGGATGTACGTCTGAGGGGTGGCCGACATCACAAGGAAGGACGTGTGGAAGTAAGAATTAACAACGGCAAATGGGGTACAATTTGCTCGGATGGTTGGGGTCTGCTGGAGGCCAATGTCGTATGTCGCCAACTTGGTTTGGGTTATGCTCGAGATGCCATGCAAACTGATTTCTTTGGTGGCACAGATATTGCACCCCATGTAATTACTGGCACCGAGTGTTACGGCAATGAAACCTCGCTAAATGATTGTCTCCACCATGATTACCTGCGTGGTGTGATGTCGTTTCATGGTTCACATAATCACGTGGCCGTCGTGATATGTGATCACTTGGCGCCAGATTTAGTCATTGATTATTATGAAATTGAGCGCACCGCTCATTTGGAAGATCGTCCCATGGCTTTGATGCAATGTGCAATGGAGGAGAACTGTGTTGCTAATGAAGCTTATGAAATACAACGTGATGATCCCGATTGGCGATATGTCACCAGGCGTCTGTTGAAATTCACCGCCAGTGCATTGAATACAGGAAATATCGATTTTCGTCCATTCAAAGAGAAGAATATGTGGGAATGGCATATGTGTCATATGTAAGTGAAACTGATGGGTGAATGTGGAAGGAATGATGATAATGGGAAATTATTTTTTGCAGGCATTATCACAGCATGGAAGTATTTGCGACATTTGATATATTCGATCATAGTGGGGTGAAAGTGGCCCAGGGTCATAAGGCTTCATTTTGTTTGGAGGATAGCCAATGTTTGCCGGGCGTGCCCAAGAAATATAATTGTGCCAATTTTGGTGATCAAGGTAAGTTTTGTGAGAAAAAGGATTTCAAAATAAGGTATGGATCAGAATCGTATATATATTGGGATCAGTTCTTGAAGGTTTAGAGCATGTGGAAAATTGATTATGTATATTTGAAAAAAATATTCTATTCAGAAACAAACTTAAACAATTATTTTAATTTATGATTGGTAATCGTCAGACAGATTTTCATGAAATTATGTCCTGATTACCACAAATTCCCAAAAAAAAAAAAAAAAAAAAAAAACTTTAAGAGGTGGTCGCCGTTTATCAATAATGAAACATTAAGCAAAAAAAAAAAAAACTTCACGAAGATTCACCATTTTGAATATTTCCTCTGTGAGATATAAGAACCTTAAATATTCTTATTTTTTTTATTTGGAACATTCTTTTCCAACCTATACTGAATTTTATAATGCTTTTATCTTAGGGGAATCTGTTGGTATTTTATGTAAGAAATTTATTATAAACTTAAACCTTTTATTAAATGAGGCAGTCCTGTTATATCAAAACTTGCCCTAAGAAATGGGTAACAATTGGTTAAAATTTTAATATTTAATATCCAGATAAGGGACAACAATTATAGAAGTATTCTGCCAAAAAAATTTGATCTTTTGCGGTATGGTCTTAGCCTAATCTGGCAGCAGGAGACTGACAAACAAAATTTGTATTACCTTAGTAAAATTTAAAATTCAATATCCACTTTACATTTAATTCCATATTTTCTCTCCAGGTATCTCCGTCAATTGTTCCGATGTCTATTTATATAATTTGGATTGTCAATGGGTTGATATTTCGGAAATGAATACCGGAACGTATACTCTGAAAATTGCCATCAATCCGGAATTCAAAGTAGCTGAAATGAATTTCGATAATAATGCTGCCATTTGTAACCTGCTTTATACCGACACTTATGCCCGTGTCGACAATTGTAGATTAGCTCGACCCTGAGAGCGTCTCTGACTGTGATGGCCGATCAAGATTATGCAGAAATGATAAACATAAAGCTGAATCATTAAACGTAATTATGGAATTTATTATGCGAATGTTTGGACAACCATGACTGATTTGGGGGAGAACAAAGTGACATTTCTGCTTGACATTGAGGTGCCAGAGTGATTAATTCACAGATTTTTTATGGCTGCGAACTTAGAAAACAACAAAAAATTAAAAAATATATAACAATTTCAACTGTGCCAAATAATTTAAAACCAAACTGTACTTAATTTAAAATATAAATAAAAATAAAAACATAATAAAAACGTGTGAATATTTGTGGGAAACGGTAACCTAGCCCTGGCGAACATACGAGAATGGGCGACTATGTGTGGCAAATTAGCTAAATGTGTTTTTTATTTATTTCCCTCATTCCACTATCCATAGCTGGAGGAAAAACACCAAATGAAAATGAAAAACAAAAACGTGATAATCACATTTGAACTTGAAAGTAACTGAGGCATAGCTTAGCCACAGTAGTTATTTGAATGAATTGGATTTGTTCGGAATGTTCTGTTCTCAGGCAAATTGTTAAAAACTCTACAACGTAATCATCATTGCCATCACCGTAATGATCATCACGTACATGCCAATAATATGTTAAAAGCCAAACACAAAAACAAAAAACAACATAAACTTTATTGTAAAATTACACTTTAATTATTGCAGCAGATGTGGCAAAAAATTGTAGCAACACAACAATAACGTAGTGTAAAATGTGGCATTAACGAACTGTCATTTGGGACCAATATAAATGACAAGAGTTCGATATGATAGAAATATTAAAGGTCCTACTATTCGAATTTTATGTCATTTATCATGATTGACAACTGATATCGATTCTTTATATTTATGTTCCAACGTATATCATTTAATTAGATCTAAAGATGACACAGTGCACCACAACAAAAAAAGAATTTGAAAACAATTTACATTCAATTCGTTTAGTTGTGCTCGTGCTTTGTTGTTTTTCTGTAATTTAATTCTGATTTTCTGATGAATCGGTGACAGCTGTTTGACTTTTATGGCGGCAGTGTGTTTTTGATTTATAAATTTCAAGCTTCATTCATCATCATCGCTGTCGTCGTTATCATCGGTAGTTAGTTACCTCATAGACACGGGCTAGTATTACGTTTAGCAATAATTAACATATGAATTGTAAAAAAAGACTATGAAAAATTTTGAATTTAAATATTTCACGCTTCAGTCGTCGACCATTCGCATGAATATTTGGCTAAAAGGGGCTATGCATTTTGTTCTTGCTTTTTTTTTGTTGGATGTGCACATTGAACTTGACCGACCTTGTGGTTGTGTATTTTGTGGGTGGTTGGTTTGTTAACGAAAGTTTGGTGACCAATTGTTATTTTAATTGTGGTTGTTGTTGTTGCTTAATGTGAAATTACCTAAGCGGAAAAAGTAAATACGCCCAAACATAATTTGGGGGCATACGGAAGACATTTATGGAAATAATTCATTCATAACTAAGGAAATATAGACTCTAGTAATGGAAACCCCGTCTTCTTTAGACGAAAAAAATAATTTCAATATATACGTAAGAAAGGAAAGTGAGAGTAGTTCAAGAAAAATACATTATTTGAGGAAAAATAATTGTTCGTTCAATGGACTTCTACAAGTTTATAATATTCAAAAATGTCCTTCTATGCAGAGAGCTCCAGAAAATATGAAATGCTAGACATTAGTTAACATACAGTCGAAATAGCTTATAGCGGCCTCAAGGGACCGGCAGAATTGGCCACTATATGTGATAGTATGCGTACTTTAGGATACCGTCATTATAGCATGACTTGGACTGTAGATATGTCGCTGAAAACGATGTCGTTATTAACGATCTGACCTATATATTTTGTAAAACAATCTAAATACTACCTATTTATGATTTCTCTTTCAAAGTCTGACTTCAAAGAGAATCTTAGTTGAAGAGAATCAAAATTTTATCGCTAAAAAGAGCGAAAAATCTGACCTAATTCCAATTTCAACGAAATAAAAATGAGAAATTTCGAAAACAGCTATAAAAACAAAACATTGCCATAATTTAATTAAAATTTATAATACCAAACAAAAAAATACGAATAAGAGAAGAAGAAGGAGAAAAAATAAAAAATACATCAAATAAACAGTCTATAGTTCGTCCGGTAATCAGCTGTTGTTGTAAATGGAACAGAGACGCAAAACACAAACACACACACACTAGCACACCGCATTTCAGCCAAATATGGATTCTCGATAACAAAAAAATCAACCGAAAACAGTCAACAACAGATAGCCAAATTAAATAAAAGTAAATATACAAAAAAGTGAAGCCAAAAAACCAAAACAAAACACCAACCACGATTATTCAATAATAATAATATGAGATTTATGAAATAAATAAATGACCGATTCAAACAGGCGATAAAACAAATAAAATTCGAAAAAATAATTACGTAGCCTACCAATAACGACGAATTCCCTACTCTTTGGAAGGGTCATTATTATTCATACACTTCACGTAGAGATGACCAACAGGCGTGTATCAATTGGTGATACAACTCAATACTGGTCATAAATCATTCGAAATTTTTATGGCTATGGCCATATGGGAGGGAGGTATGTTTAGTTGGTTGACAGTCAATAACAGGTTTGTCACATAAATACATGGCATGATGGTTTGTTTATTTTTTCCATTTACACAATTTCCATACTACCCTCTTCAACGATTTTTAATTGATAGCGAAATCGATAAACTTTCGCCACTTAAGTGGCTACTGCGAAAACCATACAACTTCTTTGCGGTTTCAACAGCAAAAACTAGCCACCAGGCACCCACGCCTGCGCCAAGCAGCGACTGGCCGTAACGCTGTAACATGAAAAAAACTAACCAGTCGACCATCCGGCCATCCAACCTGCCGACCACTTATTAATCGTCGTTCAACAAGTTGTCAACGTTGGGCATCGCAGCTACGCCGGACGCCAAGAGAGTGTGCGCGCTGTAATTAAAGTGAAAGAAGCTCAATGCGCAGCTTAAAGAAATCACGGCTCCCTGTTGAATACGAAATGAAAAATATGCACAGTCGGTTTTTAAGCGTCAAACGTAACAAACGGTTTCGTAGAAAAATAGTTCAATCGCCAAACGTCGCCAGCTTGTGAAATACATTTGAATATTGGCTAAATAGTGAACAGAATGTTAATAAATTTGAAAATATTAACATTGGTGTTGGCAGTGCTGCTAATCTGTGGCCCATTGCCGTCGCAGGGGGCCAGACGCAAGACCACTCCCATCAATGAGGAACAAGAACAAACTCTGAAACAATCGCAAAGTACCTTCGTTGAATGGGTGCTGTCTTTGGTGCCTCAAAGGCCCAGCTTGGAGCCGTTAACAGGATTTCTGGGATTAGCAACAACCAGCACAGCTGCAACACCCACTGACAATCCGCATAGAACAACCGCAGCAGCTGAAGTCTCCAGTACCACAGAGAAATTGACAACCGCAGCACCATCGCCCTCAACTACTGTCAGTACCACAACAACAACAACGACTACCACCGCGGCACCGTCTACAACCCCCGCACCACCACCAGTTCTGAATCCACCACGCAATTGCAGTGACTGTGTCTGTGGTATTGCGAACACACAAAAACGTATTGTGGGTGGTCAAGAAACCGAGGTCCATCAATATCCCTGGATGGCTCAGCTGTTGTACGGTGGTCGTTTCTATTGTGCCGGTTCACTGATCAATGATCAATTTTTGGTAACCGCATCACATTGTGTATATGGTTTTCGCAAGGAGCGTATTAGTGTTCGCCTGTTGGAGCATGATCGTAATGCATCACATTTCCAGAAAATTGATCGCAAGGTTGAAGAAATTACCACCCATCCAAAGTATAATGCTCGGACCTATGATAATGATATTGCCATCATTAAATTGAATGAGCCCGTTGAAATGACCGATTTATTGCATCCTGTCTGTATGCCGACACCGGGTAAATCGTTTAAGGGAGAAACGGGTACTGTGACTGGTTGGGGTGCATTGAAAGTTGGTGGTTTTACTTCGAATACATTGCAGGTAGGTGTGGAATGGAAAATTCCGATAAATCTATAGTATATTGGAAGTATGATGATGATTGGTAATACTAAATCTTGGAATAGAATATAAATAAATAGCATTTGAGAAAGCCTGTAATAGGGTATGCCCATATGACATCGATAAATTTAATCGAATATAAGTATGGGGTATGATAAAATCTAGATTGATGCATTCCATTTTCTCATTCTAGACACTAAAAAATATATTGAATTGTACATATTTGAATTCCTAGGAATATGATCCAACAAAAATTTAGCAAATCGGAGTACATCAAGAAACGAAAGTTTTTAAAGTAATAATATCCTTACCTTGCACATTTTTAAACCGGCATACATTTCATCAAACTGAAAGAAGAAAGAAAGGAAAACTTTTATTAAAATTTAGGAATCCACAAGGAATCATTTTCTGGAAAATATATGTTTTGAAAGGAGTTAAGGTTCTGGTCAAACCAGACAGCCATCCCGACATTATCTCATTAGAAATAATTATTGTTTTTTTTTTTTTGTTGAAATTAATCAGTAACTATTTTAGATAAGGTAAATTCGAAATATTTCGCAAAGAATGGATATGGAGTATCATCTTATTCTAACGAAAAATGTATCTTAATCAACCCATCTTCTTATGGTAGATGGTAGGATGAGGTCATTATATGTAAGAAGGCTTTAAATAAAATTGCACCAAAGGAGGCATATATAGAAAATCTACGTCTTGATACATACTCTAATATTTCTCCTAAATTTTCGCTCAGGAACATATGGTCATAGCAATATCTTATAATTGTCATTTTTAGCAATTTCTATTTGTTTTTTTTTCTTGTCTATTTATCTAATTCTTGTTTCTTCTTCTGCTTCTTTTCATTCACTCTTACCACAGGAAGTAAAAGTTCCCATAATGTCACAAGATGAATGCCGCAAAACACGTTATGGCGCATCACGTATCACCGACAATATGCTCTGTGCCGGCTATCCTGATGGCATGAAGGACAGCTGTCAGGGGGATAGTGGTGGACCATTGCACATTGTGGCCACCGGCACCCGAGAACACCAATTGGCCGGTGTGGTGTCCTGGGGCGAGGGATGTGCTAAGCCAGGTTACCCAGGAGTCTATGCTCGTGTCAATCGTTATGGCACTTGGATTAAAACTCTGACCAAGAATGCCTGTCTCTGTCATTCGGAGACAAAGAAAATCAAAAAGTAAAGCCACAACAAACTATCCGGGACGGAGAGATTTATTTTTCTTAATATTTTTCATTAGTAAAACGAACTTATTTATTTTATTTATTAATATTTATTTCTTATTGTTAATTAAGGTGAAAATAAAAATAAACACTTATCTAGTGCCAACATATTTATCTGTGCCAGAGAGCAAAAAAATACAGAAAAAAACTTTCTTTTTTCATTTCTCCCAACCAGCCAGCCATCTAGCCAGACTGACAGGTAGATAGGCAAAAAAGCCGGTTTTGTTGTCCGAGTCATTGTAGGATTGAATTTGAATGCACTTGAAGTCGTTCAGACTGACATACAGACAGCCAGCAGCGATTTATTTCTTTTTATTTTCGCACACTCACCGTTTATGGCCGGGTATATGCATATGTTTGTGGTGGGTTATCACGAAAAATGTGAAAAGCATATTAATGCGTTCACTTTTGGCCAGCTAACCAGCGGCTGCCAAGAAGCTAGTTTATTGGGAAGAATGTTGAGAAAAGTCTAAAGCTGAAAAACTTTTGTTGCAATCAATGGATGTGCTAAGTTATTTAGTTAGCCTACATCGGTGGCCGTTACAAGACATCACTTCACTTTGGGAACGTCATGAACGCTTATCAGCGACATTGGCAAATTGTTTTGCTATGGTCTGTTTTGCTGTTGTCCTCGCCGGCATGCAGCTCACCACAAGGATTTTCATCTACATCTGTGCTGAGGCAAAACAATTTCTTTGAGTGGTTACTGTCAATATTTCAAACCATACCACCGTTTAGTGTTGTACCTACAACATTTAGGCCCCCCACAGCACCAACAACAACACAACCAACTGAGCCCAACGAATGTGCAGCCTGCATATGCGGTGCAGCCAATTCGATGAGGCGCATTGTAGGTGGTTATGAGACTCAAGTGAATCAATATCCCTGGATGGCAATGTTGTTGTTTCGAGGTCACTTCTATTGCGGTGCATCACTCATCAGTGACCGTTATGTTGTGTCAGCCGCTCATTGTTTGAGAAGTTTCCCCCGCCCATTTATAAGTGTGCGTTTAATGGCCCATAATCTAAAGGATCGAACGGTGCGTGTGCTAGATAGAATGGCCGCCAAGGTGGTGGTGCATCCCAAATATTCCATGACGAACTATGACAATGACATTGGTTTGGTAAAATTGGATCAAGTGGTGGAAATGTCCAGTGTAATGAGGCCAGTGTGCTTGGCCATGTCGGATCGAAGTTATGACGATGAATTAGCTGTTATAACGGGTTGGGGTGTTACCAGTGAGGGTGGCCAAATTTCCCAAACATTAAGGGTAAGTTTAACACTTAGCTCGTGAACAGAATAATTACCATATCAAATTCTTTTAGGAGGTCAAAGTTCCCATTCTATCTCAAATGGCCTGTCATGAAACGAAATATGGTAAGGATCGTATTACGGATAATATGTTATGTGCTGGTACTGCGGAAGGTGGTATGGATGCCTGTCAAGGTGATAGTGGTGGTCCGCTAATGGTTTCTAATGAGGATTTGAATATTTTCCACTTGGCTGGTGTGGTTTCATGGGGTGAGGGCTGTGCCCGTGAAGATTATCCTGGAGTTTATACACGCGTTAGTCAATATCTGGATTGGATTGATGAAAATACCAAGGATGCATGCCGATGTGATGTACCAGAACAACGAATTGATCAAGTGGAAATATTAGAAAAGGAGTTTACAATCATAAAACGTTAACATTTTTAAAAATCTTTTTTCTATAAAATAAATTTTTGAAGATAAGTGGTGAAGTATTTCTGTGAAGTTTACAATCATAAAACGTTAACATTTTTAAAAATCTTTTTTCTATAAAATAAATTTTTGAAGATAAGTGGTAAAGTATTTCTGAGGCCGGGATAAGTTAGTGTATTGGATAAAAGTGATAGAAAAATACATAAATTTCGAAATTTTTAACGTTGTTAGCATGAAATGGGAGAAATGCTCAAAAAATCGTAAAATAGTAAACATACGAGAGTCTGGTATCCGTCTAGAGATGAAACTACTTCAAGGCGTTAATGGATTCATATCACTATATTTCGATCCCGTTCCTTCAAACATATTCCTTCAAATAAAAAGGAAATAAATGTAATTTGAGGTTATTGACAAAATATGTATCGACTAATTATTTTCATTCTGAATATATATAATTGGTGTCCTTCCATTTTGTTTGAGCATAGTCCTCTATTATTTTTCTAAATTCTTTTCCATAAAATCTAAATTTTAATTATTTATAAATCTTTTTAAACACATGTTATTTTCAATAATAACAATAACCCCTAAAAGTATGCAATACCATTACTGAATACATTTTTCCATCATAGGTCATTTAAATGACAATTGTATACAAATTACGGCTTAAATTTCAATGATATGATGGAATCAATATCAAAAACAGGAATAAACATGCCATACACTTACACATCCACACATGACAGCCACAGATGGGTCAACATGAAGGATGTTTGCCAAAACACGCGCGACATGATCCACCATTTCTGTCTTAATTGTCGTTTTCCGCATTATTCGACAACGTTGCATCAACGAAAGAAACCCCGGGTATAAATGACAGATATGGCGTATAAAGCTATGATTTCCTTTCGTTGTTGTCGCTGTGTTGATTATTTGTTTATTTCCGTACATCGGCTATAACAAGAATAATGGGAATAGAATGGTATGGTATGGAAAAAGCTATAGCCCATAGACTTTAGTCGCCAGACACCGGGATGTAGCTTTATGTGACAATGGGCCAGCTTGGCGTAGATCGTGGCAGAGATGGCAGTGGTGGTGGTATTACTCACACACAAAAACACATAATATAAATGTAATTAAATTTGCACATGTGTCCTGTATGAACGTGACATGCCAATGTTAATGATGATGACGACGACGACGATGATATTCAAAGAGAAGAGAATTATGACGATGATGGAGATGGTGGCTTTGAAGTGCTTTCCACCCACCCAGCAAGAGTGAGCGAGCGCGCGTGAGCAGGACGAAGAACAGCCATTATAGTCATTTATTTAAAGCAATCTGTTGAATGATGCGTTTCGCTTGCAAGAATATTTTTGGATGGTCGTATTATTTTTGTTGGGGTTTTGTTTTAAATCTGAGATGGCCTTCCCTTGGCTGCCAAAGGAAAATGAGTAGGAAATTAAAAGAATTCATGCGTTGAAATTAATTTAAAGATATTTTTCATTAACGCAGACACCCAAACTTACAACGAGTGACACATTCAACATGGAATTGCAATCTGAGTACTCTTACATACATACGTAAGTGTATGTGTGAGTGTGTATTTGAGTATGTGTGTTGTGGTATGTTTTTAATACCGTAGATGAAAGAGAAAGTTTTCATCTGCCCAATGGCATCCTGGCTGCCTGGCTGCCTGGCTGCCTGCCTGCCTGCCTGCCTCTACTTACTGCTTGTAATTATTTACCCAACACTTTGGAATTCCCACAAATGTTCTGCTGAAGAGGACAGCAAACCGACCAAAACAACAAAAAAAATTGCAATTTCATTTTTTTACGTTTACGTTTTTCTTCACCTCCAATCATAAAAAATTAATTGAATTTTCTCTCGGTTGGCAAGAGAGTGGGGTGGCTAAGAAGTCAGTTTTGTGCGAATGTCTTATTCGATTGTCAGTTAGTAGTGATTATACAACTAACTGACTTGTGGCAGCAGTTCCTCCTGCTGGGCCACCCAAAAGTAATAGTAGTAGCTGTTGTTGGTCTTTGGTTGGAATTTGTCGACAATGGTTGTTTTTTATTGATTTCCGTTTTTCCCAGAAATGCGGAAAAACTCCTCAATTTCTATGGAAGGAATAATAGGAAAATGTGTGTGTGTGGCGTTTCTTAGACATTCACATATAACAAATAATGATTTTATGGCCGATTTATTGATAATTTTATTACTTTGGCACATGACTTTCGGGCAGAAATGGTTGCAAATTACGGAACAACAAAAACATGTCAGCAATACGGAAGAAGTTAAGACGGGTTAACAATTTACGATATGAAATTGAATATATAGGGAATTTAGATCCAGAAAAAAAGTACCAGAAATCGTATACGTTTAGTTTTATTGCAGAAACCTGATAAGAAAAACATGCAATCTAATTAAATATTAATAAATATTTGTGATATGTTGAATATGTAGTTCGATCAGTATCAGTTCTGAACACAGCTCACATTTCCAAATATTCCCTATAAAAAAATATTACAACGGAAACAGGATTTTGAAATGTAGGTTTTCAAAATTACAATTTTAAAATATATTAGCGAAAAACTTTTAATATCTTCCAAATTGTTAAATGTTTAATTCAACAATTCCAAATTCAAAAATTAAATAGCCTCCGAATGTGGCTAAGCCTTTGGAGGCTTATAAATTCTGGTTTCATGGATTTTGAGAAAAAGGCCAGATCGGTAGGCGAGCAGCTATTGATGTCCCATTTTTTTCCTCCGCAAATATTCAAAATTTGTAATAATTTATTAGAAGAATTAATAATTAAAAAATTGTCCACTTGAAATATAATTTAAAAAATTGTCCTTAGATTCTTTAGCTGCCAACCGTTTCTCATCTTCATTTTCTTTTCACTTTCTATTCAGTTTTAAACAAATATTTGTTGTATTTTTGTTTTGCAAACCCCAATAATTGCCTTGACTAGAATTGAGCAGCTAACCCCTTCGATAAGGGATGTTGGATTACCGACCATCCATCATGAAATCCTATATCACATGCAAGGCACTAGGTCGATATGCCCGAAAAAATGGAGTTAATTTTGCAAAACATAAGAAGACGACGAAGAAGAAGCAACACCAGCAGCAGAAGAAACCTCCAAACGAAACAAACCACACCAAAAGCAAAAACTGAAACCCAGAAAAATAGAGAGTAACTCGCATTATGCATACCAATGAAGTTTTTGGCCAACAACAAACAATCAAACTTGGCAATATCTGTAACAACAGCAGCAGCAACAACAACAACAACGACATCAATGAACCATTCAATCAAACTGAACTCAAACCTGGCAACCCAACAAAAAGAGACAGCATTTCAAAACAGTCTATCTACACATTGTGGTGGTGTTTTGTGTCTCTGTGTGTGTGTGCCATGGTGTTCATTCTGATTCTCATTTTAAGCTCAAGTGTTAAACGAGCGTAAACAAATCCAAAACCCTTACATCGGCCACAATGCAAAATTAAAATTCCAAAAACGTAGCATTTTACAGCCCTTCCTCCACACACGCTCCAAAAGTCACACACACACGCACATACATGGCGATACGATGTAAGTCCTAACGAGAAAAATGTTGCAATGGCATCAACCTACCAGCCGACCGAACAACATTGCCGACACTGGTATAGTCCATTTAATATGAATATTTTCAATGAGCTCAAAACCCGAAGAGTAGAGCATTCACAGTCAGCAGTTACAGTGGTGGCTATGTGGGATGGTGGGGTGGTGGAGCAAATGTTCCCATTTCCTTTTTTTAATTTACTTCTGTGATCCTTCTTTTTCCCCATACCAATGGCAACATTTTGTATGGATTTTTTTTGTTTTGTTTTGTTTGTTGTTCCTTTTTGCGGCATCAGTCCTTCTTTGGGGGGTTTTTTGTGTGTTTCATATTCATTTGGTGTGTTCATCATTCCAAATTGAACATTATCATTATTTTTATTGAGAAATTCAGTTTATTGGATTACAACATGTGACCCAATATCGATGCGTGTTGGGCTGACTTGGTGTTTTGTTGACTATGAAGTTTCTGTTCGTTGGCCTTCACAAAAAATATTGATTTGTTGTGGTTTCCTTTTTTGTAGTTTCTATCCTGAGTTAGGGGCCAAGTCATATTCCGTTGAGACATTTTTTCGTATAGTTTGTATGTAAACTTTTTCTTTGGGAAACATGCCCCAGGCTTTGGAGATAACAGTTGACCATCAAACATAATTTTCAAATGAAAAATGTCAAAGTTTTTGTTGTTGTTGTTGTTCGAATAATATTGAATAAGTATGCATGGAAATTTTGTTGAATATTTCCGAAATAGTTTTATATTTTATACTAACAATTTGGAAATTATAGAAACCATTTATTAAAACATATAAAAAAGTTTTAAGTTCGTCTGAATATTTAATACTACTGTTCTCTTTGGAAAAATCACATTTACACATTAAAATATTTTCAACAGCAAACTCAAGACATGATAAGCATTTTAAGGCTCTCCGTATCTAAGGGCCATATATTTTGATTCTCATAATTTTATGTCACAATTCTAGTTATTTTGACCTTCCACAACCATCCTCGGTTCCTTAATAACTCTCAAACCTTATATATTTTCCAAGGTCCTTTCAACAATAAATGTCCATAAATTTACCTTCATTGACCTATCACATCTCTATTGTTTTCTCAACGTACATTGAAATGTTTTCCTCGCTTTTATCAAAGTGTTAAAACCATTTTGAGTATTAATCAAAAAACGGTTTATTGAATTCCTTTCTTGTTTGCATGACAATGCATGCCTGAATGCATGACAACAGTAACAACTTCAACGGCATTAACGATGCGTAACCATTATTGTTCTCCAATGCCTCCATTCGTCAGTTCATTTTCAATAAAATTCCCACAATATGTTAATATTTATACTGACTGTTTGGCCCGATCCTGTCTGTATGTCTGTCTGTCTGTTTGTCGAATGGATTCGGGCA